AGATGAGGACAACCTAAAAAATTGTAACTTCCTAGTCAACGCTTGTTTTGAATTATGCTTTCAACCTCGTTTCACTTTGATACCCCCAGAGTGTTCCTTTAAGAGCTTTGGTACCCAAAGTCCAACTCACATTTCATTTTGATACCCCCATCTGAACTATGCGAGATTTTCTAGTAAATTAAAATTACATCCTCACCATGAGATCGATACATTTAGGCCCTCTTTATCTAGTTGCTACGTGCGTGATTCAAAATTTACAATAAAATCTAACACAACCTAGATAGAGGCATCATAGTATGAGATTCAAAACTTTTGGGATATCAATGTGTAAAAAAAAATCTAGAGTATCAAGGTAAAATAGGAGCGTAACTCTGAGGTATCAAAGTGTTAAGAAAATGCTCTAGGGTATCAAAGTGAAGAGGCGGATGAACTTAGGGGTACCAAAGTGAAAATAAGGTTTTGTTTAATTTTACTGATTTTAGGGGTACCAAAGGGAACTGATTGTAAAAAAATTCAAAAAAAACCTATATTATGAGTATAAAGGGAATCTAACTAAAAAATAAAAGAGCATGAAAATAAATCTACACTACAAAGTATAAAATAAATCTACTCTACAAACATAAAAATACAAACATACGTACATACATATATATATATATATATATATATATTATATACCGCATCCATTACAAAGCTTTAATCACGTTAGCACCTAAAGCTAAAGTGCATACAAAGCCAGGAAAGACAGTCATAGTAGAGACTAATTTACTTTTATCACATGTTGTTGTAAACAAACAAATCAAATGGACCGAAGTAAATTTTCCTAATAGCTAGGTTCTACCCAACGCTATTCAGCCTCAGCCTATTGTAAATCAAGAAATTGATCAAATCATACAAACGACTGATGGTGAAGTTAAAATAATCTTCAACGCTTCTAGGACAATTAAATTATCTGATGTTACAACTTCATCTAGAAATCTATTTCTAGATTTGATTCTTATAGAATTAACGAGGTTAGAGGAATTAATATATCCCAAAATAATATACCTCATCCGATCTATAAAGAGAAAGAAAAACTTGCTCCTACAAGCTCTGAAATGAGCTTCCAAATGTAATAACTGTTTTTATGGATTTTACACCCAATAGTGAATTACGAGGATTTTTTTAATATAGAATTCCAATGCAAAAGTAATCAATCCTTTAGAGAATGGTTCTTTAAGAGTTTCTCTAATAGAGAACAACAAATATTTAAATCAAGTTATTATGAGACACTGGATAAGAATCAAGAAATAGAATTCTTCATTCATTGGTTCCTAAAATTCTTTCTTCAAAAGGAGGAAAAAAGAATTGGAGTACTTGAAGAACATTACAAACAATGGAAATCAAGTACTGGTTTATCGATTAAATCTCTTTATCCTCTAACAGAACCACAAAAGCTTATTGGAGTTTCAACATCAACTCTAGAAGCAACGACTTTTATAAAGCCCACTGAATCCAGTGATAAAACTTTAAAAGAGCTTAATAAGGTAATTAAACAGAGTAATTACTCAAATATACATCTTCAAGTAGTTGGCCAGCAACTTACTCGAATTGAAGATGTAATTGATAAACTTGTTCAAAAATTGAAGACTATTATTCCCTCTCTAATAAGTTCAGAGAGTGTTAAGGCTCCTGTTATACATACAGGAAAAATGCACTATTAAGCCACCTCTAGATATATCTGGATTCAATACAAGTGATAAGATAACTTCAAGAGTTATTGAAGCTTTAACAGAAAAGCTCAGTACTTCTAAATTACTTACACTTGATGGTGAGCAATCTACTTCGTCAGTCATTCATACCGACACAAAAATATCTGACAGTGATAATGAATTGATTAGACCAGATCAGATATTAAAAGTAGAAAATCAATTCTCTACAGTGAATAAAATCACAACACGCCCTAAACAATTAGAGCGTTACTATTATAAACGAACTACTCCTGTTGATGTATTATCGAAGAGAATGATACGTACATACAAGCTGACTATAATGGTAGAAATATTTATGAGTGGAATATTGATGGTTTATCCGACAATCAAATATACTCCACATGCATCGCATCTTGATGTATTCTACTATCTGCAGACAAAATGATAATTCTGTTAAGCTAATAGCTTCCTACATTACGAATTTGATTCTCGCTCATCTTTTGGATGACTAGGTGAGAGTCAACCCAAGAAGTATATAACTCTGATATGGGCTTTAGTACTATATCAAGGTATGCATCATATTTAGACCACCAATTATAGAACCAAGTGGGTAGGCCTTTATAAATGGCCTCTGGACATAGTTTAATTAACCATGTATGTTTGTTTCTAGGATTTTGATAGAGGAACAATTGATAAAATACTGATTGGTAATCCCAGTAATTGAAATTATAAATTTATTTTTTTGGAGTTTTAACCAAGGAAAATTCCTGGTTAGTACTCATTGCCCAGTCGATCTCTGTGAAGTATAACTTCTTTGATCACACATTTGCTGAAGTTTGGAGGAACAATATGGTTTTTATTACTCCAACAATGTGTGATCTCCATACCTTCCTGGATGAGTATAGTCTTCATTCATGCTCTAGGTTTGAGAGACAAGTTAGGGTAATACGTCGAATCTAAGTATTTTTGCCTTAGTTGTTCAATATCTTTTATAAGAGTATTAGGTCTCATGTTTATGAGCGTACTATCCAATCTAGTTTTGATAATTAACAAATAATTCCTAACAACGTTTGTCGAGTGTTTGTATTTGATTATTATGTATTCTACACAAAGATCCTCTATTGGAAGTTAGATGGATTGCGCCTTAACGATGAGATTCAATAGAGGTTGGTGGAATATCGGAATTAAGCCATTTGCAATTCAAGTAAAATACAAGATCAAGATTTATCCGCAACCAAGACGAGCTTTACTGAAGATCAAATTGTTTGGGTATAGTGTTTTATGTTTATCAAATTGTTTGGGTATAGTGTTTTAGGTTTATACTTTTTGTGTTTATACTTAAAACTCAAATATTACACACATACAAGTTTTCGGTTTATCGCTTTCAAGTTAAATTAAATAAACCTAAAACAAATAGTTACATTTATAAACATACATGCTAGTTTCATATTTCTCATATTTATTTGGAAAATAATGTGTTTATAGATTAAAGACTTGTTTACACTATTTTATATCTTTCCTCAAGTCTATTAATCTATTTTGAAGTATTTTAAAACTTGTTTGTATTGATTTCATCAAATCAAGTTTTGACGATTTCGTATTGTTTAACAGTTTGTAAAATAAATATGTTTTCACAACTGGGAAATTAAAATTGAGAAATTCTTTTTCTAATAGTTTGAATTGTTATTATTAATTAATTTTATAAAGCCAGCTATGCAGATTTCAGGTTTCAGATTTTGTGAACAATATCGGTGAACAGTGCGGTTGACCGAACAATAATCCGTTGCAATAATGGTTAATTTTTTTAGATTTTGGTTTTTGGTGTTTTTCTTAGGTTTTGGGCTCTTGTTTTGAGCAACTATAAATACCCCTTAGCCCTCAACACTTTAGAACATCTAAGAAAGATTTAAAACAAGTTTACAAGTGTTTTAAGTGTGTTTTTAAGTGTTTATATGAAGAGAGTTTCACAAGAGGAGGAGATCAATTTATATTCTTTTGGGGCTTCAATTTTAATCTCTCTCACTCTTGTTTTTAGAGAAGTTTCACTAAACTCAACATCTAGCTATATATACATATTTTGTTGATTATTATTTCTTTTAGCTAGAATTTAAAATTGAGTTTATATTTTATTTTACTCATTGAATGCACACACAACCTTTGAGCTTTTAATATTTTCACATTAAGTATAATTTGGGTTGTGATGTGTGATTCCTTGAGTGTGAGATTAATTGTGTTCTCGTCTTGTTTAGAGAACAAACACTTTATATTTGTGCTTAATTATCATGAGATCATATTGTAATACATAAGGATACTAAGAGGAGTGGTTGGTGAGAGACGGAGTTAATTTCAAGAGGAGTGGCGTTGGTAGTAAAACCTAGGAAGAGGTGGTAAATCTAAACACTTGAGGAAGTTGACACGAGCTAGGCCAACACTTAGAGGGTGTATTGTGTGATTACAATAGTGTGAGTTATAAACGTTTTTGGTGAATGTTGAAAACTAGTTATGATAGTGGAGATTCTCCTCGTGAGTGAGGAGCGGAGACGTAGATCGAGGGTGACCGAACTCCGTGATCATATTGTGTGTTTGAGTTTGTCTTAACATATTATTTTTGCTCATTGTTTATTATATTCTATATCGCCATTATCTCATATTTATATCACCCTTAGTTTAATTGCATACCATTACTCATATATCTTGTTGTATATCATAATTGCTAGGATATTGTTAATAAGTTTTAAATTTGGCATTAATATCGGATTAGATTAGCATATACCCTTTTCCCCCCCCCCCCCTCTAGGGTAATTTCAAAGAGGAATGTCCTCTTGTTTTATATGAAGAATAGTGTTAAAGATGGTTTTAGTATACCACTCTACATCTTTTTTGACTATTGCAGAGAATGGTCAGGCATATTCTCTTTTACAATTAAATCTTCTATCCCTTTAGAGGATGATGATGAAGGGACACTACGATTTTCTTTCTTAGAGATAGATCTCCAGGAATTTGGGTGAGTTGGAGTATAACTCATTCCACTATTGTTGTTGCCTCCATTCCTTATTTCATCTTGTCATACATACATGATGTTCCGATATTTTCTCAGAATTTTGATCAATATGTTAAACATTTAGAGATATTTCAAAATTTAGCAATACGAAATGGGTTGGTTATATCAGCCCCAAAAATAAAAATTTCCAGACTCAGATTAGATTCTTGGGTCATAACATTCACAAAGGGACTATAATCCCTATTGACAGAAGCATTGAGTTTGCTTCTAAATTTCCAGACATAATCACTAACACCAAAAAATTACAAAGATTTCTTGGTGCGTTGAATTATGTAGCAGATTATTATCATAATCTTGCACAAGATACTGCCATTTTATATGTCTATGAGACTTAAGTTGATTTTTAAGCTTTATATCATTACATAAATCTAAGCCTTCTTTGATGTAGGCATTGATAAGAGTTCCATAAAAGAATGAATCATAGGGAATGAATCCACCATGAATTCCCTTGAGTTGATTTCAAACTCTTTCAGCAAAAAGATTAGATAGTCCATCAACAAATTTAGACTTCCAATAGGTGCTATTAGCATCGTAGAGATTCATTACTCCACTTAGGAATGTGTCTTTGTATCATCTAAAATGGGTCAAAGAAGGACAAATAAGGTTCTGTAATAGTGTCCTAATTCGTTCAACTTGGTCTATAAACGCACCAGTGAAGTGATTTGTTATAACTAATATCAAAGTATATACAACATCTTCACTTTGCTGTCCATTTTCTTATTTTACAGCATTTAATATTTCACCCCTGGACTCAAGTGTGAGGTAGTTAGCCCAAATAGTTGACAGGCGTGCTATTATATGTTTTGTTTTATTTTTAAAAAAGAATAAAGAAGAATTTCAATTATAAATTCTTACTTGTTAGAATTTATATAGTTTAATCCGTAAGAAACTCTTAATATCAGAGTTAGTCTCTGCCTCATCTTCTAAGATGGCTCGTAATATGAGTAAGAAAATTAAGAATGCTCAGTTGACAGAATATCCTTTCAATTATAAATTCTTACTTGTTAGAATTTATATAGTTTAATCCGTAAGAAACTCTTAATATCAGAGTTAGTCTCTGCCTCATCTTCTAAGATGGCTCGTAATATGAGTAAGAAAATTAAGAATGCTCAGTTGACAGAATATCCTT